CTTTCAGCCGTGGGGGCATTATAATGTGACAGTCAATCCTACTATTCGTTGGTAAAAGAGTAGCTCAAGAGTTGGCGGTGTGTGGTGATGACTAGCTGCCTTCTCTCTAGTCTTACACTGCTAAATTAGGGACGGCTAGCGCAGATAGCAAAACAAACAAACAATATATATATAATATTATTATATTGTTTATATATATATATACCAAGCTACTTCCAAACGTCGAAGTGGAAAAATAGGGTTTTAAGTTTACAGTTTTTTTTTCGGCCTCTTGTTTTTCTCGACTTTTGTTGCTATTTAGAAGATCGTTTCCTTAGGTTTCCAGACCTCACTGAGAATAGTGGAAGAGATTTCATTCGTTTAGACGTACAAACTAAAGTACAGAAACAGTGCATTTTATATTTTTATCACGACTTAACGTACAAGTTGGAAATTTTCCTTTTGCATTCTGAAAAACTTGAAACGAAATGTCAACTATACAGTAACAATGTGAGGCCTGGCAAAGTTTGGTGGTTAGGGCGCTTGACTCACAACCTGCAGCTCGCGGGTTCTAATAACGTCACCAAAGATGTTCACCCTTTCAGTGCGTGCGTGAGGGGGAGGGGATGTAATATGACCACCAATTCCACTTTTCGTTGGTAAAAAAAATAGCCCTAGAGTTTGCGGCGGGTGGCATTGGCTAACTTCCTTCCCTCTTGTCGATGACTTCAAAATTAGGGGCAGCCTGCGTAGATCACCTTGAAGTAACTTTGCGCGAAATTCAAAAACAAACAAACAAACAACACCATGCCGTATCAACTGCTAACATGGATGAGACATATCTCAGAGCGTTTAGGTAAATAGATGGTGGTAACCATATCATAAAAACTAAGACTCACTTTGGAGTACAAAATTAGTTTAGACATCTGAACCAATTACTGCTGGCTGATGGCGAACAATGACAGTAAAATATATTTTACAATTGGATAAGTAGATGCTAGGTTAGGCTCTATAACGATCACTTGTCGGTGATCGACTACAAATTTGGACACATTTTAAGTGATCAACCAGTGAGATTATTTCCATGAAATGGACAGAAATCTTACAAGCACTAAAAGGAGATTTCGCTCAAGCTTTAACATTAAATCTTAAAGAATTGTGCCTAAAGAGAAATAATTTCACTTTATTTTATATAACACGTGTACTATAATATTACCACCAAACAATATACCAACAAAAGTATTACTTCCTCGTAACTTCAAAACCTAAAATCTCAGTCTTCCTTTTGACGTCATAAGCGTTTCTCACAAGATTCGACGTCGAAAGATAGCACTTACCAATGTTTTCTAGGGATTTAAAGATGCTCTTGGTATTAGCCGTGTGTTTAGAATGCTATAAAGCGTTAATCCACAAGACAAAGGAATAAATCGCCATATTGAGTACATGCCATTACACGTTTGCGAAAGGCTTACCTACATGTATGTCCAAATATTAACTCCACTCCTCAACACGTAAACGTAACGTTTGTAAACCTTTCACTTCGTATAGCCTGTAAGTATTTTACAGGGAATTTTTAGCATAAATAGCAAATTTGGGTTGTATTGAAAATATGTTTTCTTGAAATATTTATCCATTTCACTGCTGCCCCCAGTGGCACAACGTTATGTCTGCGGACTTACAACGCTAGAAACCGGCTTTCAATACCCGTGGTGGGCAGAGCACAGATAGCCCATTGTGCAGCTTTGTGCTTAATTACAAACTAACAGACCATTTCACTGCTCCCTCTTTGGGTTAACAACTCCTGGATACGAGATATAATACCACCGAACACGCTCCGCACTTTCAGCTATAGGCGCGTTATCAAATTGACAGTCAATCTCATTCTTCAGTTTAAAGAGCCGGACAATGATCTTGTGATGGTGGGAACTGCTTGCTGGATCTATTCCCTCTGGTCAGTAGTTCAACTAAAAGCAACTACTTTAGTTTGTAAAACTGTTGTTTTCGGTTTTAATCAGTGCCGTATTAATCAAAGATTGGTCCTTAAGCCCCCCCCCCCCAACAAAACAAAGGGCTCCCAACCCCACCAAGTATTTTTTAAATTACGGTCTATAAAATTCATAACAAACCCCACCTATGTAAAAATCAATATATTAAAAACAATAAAAATAACAGCACAAATGTTAATCAGGAAAAAAAATGCATCTCACTAAACTCATGAATACACGAAAATGAGGTTTAATTAAATTTTTCACCTAAATTGTGAATACACGAAAATGAGGTTTAATTAAATTTTTCACCCAAATTTTGAATACTCAAAAAATGAGGATTAATTAAACTTTTCACCAAAGAGGACGAAAATATTTTAAAATGATAAAATCCTTTAAATTTAACCCAAATAATGAAACTTAATTACAATATAAAAAACTTAAATTATCAAAGGTGTAATTTTTTAATGTCTACAACTTAGTTCGGTTAAAATATCAAACTGGACTAAAAACATTTTCGTTGAAGGCACTCGTACAAAAATGTGAAAACAGAACATAGTTCCATTTATTTTTTCTAGGTCGCCTTAGGTCATGGGCTTTTTCTAGGTCGCCTTAGGTCATGGGCTCTGCCAAGTAGGTCCAATACTGTCTATTGTCGTATTGTTATTTGTTGAATTTT